TTACTTATAATCAATATTAATTTAAATTTCAGAAAACTGCATAATAGAACTTTCTTTGGGCTAGCTAGTAAATAATTAATTCATCAAATATATATAGGTATACTCATAAAGCAAAAGAGACTTAAGTCAAGGGGATCCTTCCCAAGTATCCATATAAGAGAAGAAAAACAATGGTGATTTACAAAAAAAAGGGCATGCAATTTGGCAGGCCTTGCTATAGAAATTCAGAATTTGGAAAGATCATTTTTAGTTAAAAAATCAGTTTTAATCTAACTTGTCTTCATTCTTAATTTTGCGTTGGATCTTACTTTTACTTGTGGCAATCTGGGGTTCTGTTCTTATTTTAAAAAATATCTATTGTTCCTCACCAGCAGTGTCTACCTTGATGTCCTTGTTTCTGAATTTTTCTGGGATGTGCAGATTCCTCACAAACTTGACACATAATAAATACCCCCTTCCTTTTCTGTAACTAAGTTTTCTTCTTTGAGATTCTTGAAGTTTATAAATTCAGGCATATGTAAAGGCTAGTAACTACCTAAGTCTTGGCCTCAATTCCATCTTAAAATCACCTTGGTAATAGTTAGCTTTATTTACACCACCACCAGCAGCAACTTTCAAGAAGCTACTCCTTCCAAGTCTATCTTCCCTTCTTCCACTGCTCTCTGTTCAGCCCAGCCCACTCCTGGCCCATCAGACATCTTCCTGTGACAGAGCATGCCTACAAACTTCTTTGCATTTCTTGCCATCTGGAACAGCTTTTTCTGCTTCATCCACTGTGTCGCTCCAAATCGTGGGGGAATATATTCTAAAACTGTTTTTCTCCTTTAATCTTTGTAATTGTATTTTAAACTCATGAAGTGATTTTAAAAAACAAACTTACTTATAAATGTAAGTCCATAAAGATGTATACTTCTTGTGCAATCTAAGGCATAAAAAAACACAAGCAAACAAACAAAACTAAATTACTGGGATTATTTAACCTGAAGGAAAAAAAAAGTCTGAGAGGTGAATTACTAACATTTAAATAAATAAGGGATTATATGATTGTTGGGAGCTCCAGCTAACCTCCTGTTACAGATTACAAGGAAATGTGCTCTAATTTAAAAGGTATTCCAATGAGATACAAGGGAGACAACAAAAACTGTTAGATAATGGAATAGCTTACTAAAAGTTGGTTATCCCTATTCCTTCCAGTAAAAGAAGCCATTACGTGGTATACTTGGTCATGTGCTTCAAATTTGGTATATATATTAAAGGTTTGTGAAGGCAGAAACATGTGGACAAAAAGTCAGACAGACATGGATAGAAACATACCATACCGGGGAGTGAGTCAGAAGAAGTGTAGTGTGTTAAACAAGACCCTTTTGACAGTTCTATTGTTGGGGCAGATGAGTATTAAAAAACAGTATTTTTTTAAGAGTTTCCCCCCTTTCTATTTCCACACTTCACAGAATAAAGCTTTTGCAATATAAAAACATAAAGTCAAATCAAAACAAGATTTATTATTCAAAAAGTTTTATTTGTAGAGATTTTTGTTATATACTATTCAGTGTACTAACATATATATGCACTATCTCACCTTGCTCCAGAAAGGGCGGAATGGCAGCATTTGATCATTTTATTAGAATAATAGCCTGTCAAGATCAAGATTCAAAGTTTTTTGTTAAATATTTGTCTTGTTTTATAATGATGCCAAATGATTTGATGAACTCCACAGAAACTTTTAAATTTCAAGAATACGTTATAATTATAGAGACCATATTACATAAAAACATTTGTTGTTTTTGAAAACTTTAAATATTTTTGTTAGTCTTTTAATTAAAAAGGCATGAAAATATTTTAAATTGACATTTCATTTTTGAACTCTATGAAAAAGTTAGTAATCCCATTAAAATTAGCAAACAGAAAGGGATATGGATGGAATCTAACCCAAAGTTAGCTGAGAAAAGAATTGCAAGTGTCATTGCCATGGGAACTAAAATATAGAACTTGAAGATAAGATTTGCTTTTTTATCTAATATGTACAGACTTCCTTTGTACATATGGACAATAAACAACTTAATGAATCCTATAGTTAACAGATCTCAAAATTCAGGAATGTATCTTACGCTTAGAAAAATTAAAAATATGGAGTATATGTCACATTTGAAGGACTTAGTAAAATTTAGTTTAGCATCCATTGCTTAAATTATATAATTTGGCTGAAGACAAGTTTTAATTTTTAGCAGGGAATTTATGTTTTCTTGAAACAGACTGATAGATACTATTTACTTCAAATTCAAGGTTCAAGTATCTTCATATTAAATATTTGAAAAAGAAACTATAAACACCCTGAAAAATTAGTAAAAATGACAGGCACATCATACTCAGAAAACTGAAAAGGCAAATTTCCTGGAAATTCTTCAGGTTTTCTGTACTACTAGCATACTTAGGATAAAAGCTTTAGTAGCTTCTACAGGAAAAGTACACAGGAGATAATCACACTGGCTTTCCATATTTACACGACACCCACATGATAGGTATGGAAAACTTTACCCATCGTAATTTTATACTCCATGACATAATTTGGTTTATTTTCCTTCTTAAAGATAAAACATTTATCAGTAAGAATCACATTAATACAAACATTTCAAAGCCAGAAAATTTCAAATAGAATTTTTGGTTCCTAAAACTGTTCATTTGAATAACATTATGGTAATGTAATATACCATAGTTGAAGAACATTATGCTTTCTTAGAAGTTACCACAAAAAAGAAAGCATAGATCATAAAAATAAACACAGTTGCAAAAAAGTATATAAAATGTCTGTCTTTTCAAACTTAACCATCTAGAAGCAGGCTACTTTACCTATAATGGTTATAAAGGAATTAATGTCTTCAAAAATGCAAATATTTTCAATCTTTGAAGAATAGTCCATGTCATAAATGACAGTTACTCTGATAATTAGCAGGAATAGGACAAATCATGATAACCTCCCATTTTTTCTTATTGAGTTTACAAAAGGCAATTTTTACATTCTGTTATTCCAAAGGGGTTCAGGCTTTTTCTTCTTCCTTAAATGTCTGATGATTTGTGGATATTTCTGTACAGAGTATCACACCGTTGCAGTTTTTCCGTGCAGCCCAAGGCTGTTGCAGCAAGTATTTCCCATCAGGAATGTGAGTAGCTAGGAGGTACAAGGCTTGAGGAAACAATCTAGAAAACCACAATACAGCTTGTGGGTCCTTTTCCCACAAATAACCTTTTTTTAAACTAGGCCCATAAAACACAGTTTATTATCCAAAAATTTTAAGGAGAATCTTTTGTTAAATATTAACAAAAGAATGACTACCCTTATTACCTTAAAATGCAATTCTTAAATAATAATAATAATAAACATTTGAACTCTCAAATCTTTTTTGAAAGTGCTTAAATCTTTAGGAGATAAATATCACTTGGTGTTTTCTAACAAATGGCTTTTTCCATTGTTTCCATTAATTTCACCCATATTCGTTTTTAAGAAAACAAGGCCTTTATCCTCATCAGCAAAACAGATGTATGATTTAGCATGTAAAACCAGTAATTACATATTGTAGTAATTTACAAAAGATTTTTTTTCTATTTTCGTCAGTTTTCAATAAGTCTTCCCGCGATTGACTGTAAACATGAATGGTTTATACCTCAAATTAGAAGCCATTAATTAGCATTAAGAAGTGAACTGCAAGATACACAGATAATTTAAATTATTTAATCACTAATCACCTTGGCTAAACGGTAGTATACTCTTTCAATATCCTTCGGTAGGGTATTGATCTGTCACTAAATTACCTCAAAATCAGTTAGAGATAGGTATTAGCGTCGCGTCCTTTGCTTTCCCTCAGATTCACATGATCTCTTTTTTAAACACTTTAAAAAGCTTTAAGTTTCCTTAACCCCAAATCCCTAAATAGCCATCACTACCCTTTTCTTTGTAATCAGGAAAAAGAGTATCTGAAGTACAAATCAGGAGTTCGCTTTGCCCGAATAACAATAAACATTTTTAAAATGTACGCTTAAGGCAATGGCAGTAATAAAAGAAATATGCAGAGGCGGCTGTAGCAAATAATGGGCTTGCAAAATGCAAGTGCTTAACAAAAAGCAGTCCGAATCTCTATTGCAATATACAGCACTCCAATAAATTACACAACACTTGCATAAGCTGCAGAAATAACGCAGGACAAGACTTACACAGATGCCAATCCGCAGCATTTATACACATGCACATGGCAAGAGACAGAAACCAAACACTATCATTCAACTCAGGCAGAAGCGCAATCCTGAGTTTGCCCAGCGTGAGACTGCTCTCTGCGTGTGTGTCTGTGTGCGCGCGTGAGTGTGAGACCCATCCTCTGGGCATTTCCCCTCTTTGGGCAGTTTTGCTTCATTTGTTTCCTATTTCTGCTACATAGAAACTAACTTCCATCTCAACCCCAGCCAGCGCCGCTGAATAGAGCCTGTGCTGCGGCTCCGTGTGCGTCAGATTCCTCCGCGGAACAGTCCCCGGCCCCCTCCCTCCCGCTATCGGCCTTCACAGAGAAAGCGCCTTCCATCCAACCGGCAGCTCTGGCTCCGACATCTTCTCCAACTGGAAATAAATAAATAAATCGAACTCTCTGCAAGGGAGGAGGAGACTGGGGTCGCGCCGCTCTGGGTGTGGGAGCGTTAGAGGTGAGGGGCCGAAGGCACTCCTTTTTTGCGCCGGGGGCGGGGGCGCGGGCCGAGGACAGGGCCGCGAAGGCAGCGAGCGGACTCTTTTCTGCGGCGGAGGGATTCGCGGCGGACGCGACGGCGGCGTCTGTAGCCGCTGCCTGAGAGTTGTTGTTTCCTCCTCCTCCTCCGCCTCCGCCGCCGTTGGTTGAATGGTGGAGCCGAGGCTCGGCTCGTGAACACACAGTGACAGCTATAGGGCAGGCGGCGGCACCGTCCCCGCTTCCCCTCGGCGGCGGGGTGCCCCGCCGGCGGCCCTGAAGTGACCCATAAACATGTCTTGTGAGAGGAAAGGCCTCTCGGAGCTGCGATCGGGTAAGTCGGGGGCTCCCGGGGCCGCTGGCACCGGGCGATTCCGCCCGCGGTCCCCCGCCCCCCCGGCTCCCGGCCGCTCAGCCTGTGTGTCTCCCTGTTCCTCTCTCCCGCGCAGAGCTCTACTTCCTTATCGCCCGGTTCCTGGAAGATGGACCCTGTCAGCAGGCGGCTCAGGTACGGCGACGCGCGGCGCGGGCCGGGCCGG